GCGTTCTCTGACACCATCTTAACAATACCAAAATCTGAAACAAATCATGTATCAAAATGCCTCGAAAAATCAAAACGTGGATGCTGAAAAGCAATATTCATCGATACAAATTTCAACAGATTGTTGCCACACAGTTAGACCACCAATCGCAATCCAGTACAGATTGGAGTACATACAAAACCGTTTTGATAAACCCTGCAATTACAGTTTGTGTGAAAACTGGTACAAAACGTCAACATAAACGGGACACGTGGTGGTGGAATGACAGTGTACAAAATGCAATAGCTGAAAAGAAGCTGCATACAAGCACATGCAAAATTCAGTTTGTTGATGACCACAAAATTTTCTGTGGGAACAACAACTATGTAATACGTCAAGTCGTTCTGGCTCGGACAGATCAGTGCAGGGAGTGGCTCACTAAATGCAATGGTGAACAAATGAAATCTCTGTATCGTATAGCAAAACAATCAAAGCGTACGAAAAAAGACATAGTTGGTGCCTCATGTATCAAAAACGATAAAAATGAGATGGTTCTTGAACAAGATAAGATCAAGCTACAGTGGAAAGAATATTTCAACCGTCCGTTAAATGAAACAAATCCAATCAATGTCAACTTTGACGCTCCACCCATCGAAAGTCCGATTCTAGACATCACTGTAGAGGAGCTTACAGAAGCTCTGAAAGCTATGAAGAATGGAAATGCAGCAGGGTACTCTGGACTCACAAATGACATTATCAAAGCATCTGGTACTGAAAGTATCCAAACGTTATTACAACTTTGCCGTGAAATCAGGAAAAATTGCTCAATGCCGACTAAATGGAACTATAGCATGACAACCCCGTTATACAAAGGCAAAGGTGATCCATTGAACTGTTCATCATATCGGGGTATACGTCTGTAAGAACACTCCCTGAAAATTGTCAAGAAAATCTGTGAGAGAATATTAACGTCATGCATCACAATCGGAAATTATCAATTTGGTTTCCTAGCGGGGAAATCAACAATTGATGCAATTCACATCCTTCGGCAACTGCAAGAGATGTACCTCGCAAGGCATCAACAACTATCACACATTTTTGTAGACCTTGAAAAAGCATTTGATCGAGTTCCCCGTGAAGCAATCAGGTGGAGTCGATAACTCATTCCAGAATATCTTGTTCGACTTGTGATGGAAATGCATACGGATACTAAGACTCTTGTCAGCACAATGGTTAGAAACACAGATGCATTTGACATCGGCGTTGGAGTTCACCAAGGCTCGATTTTCAGTCCACTGTTAATTATAACTGTGTTGGAAGAAATCACAAAACCGATATGCACTGGTTACATTTGGAATCTAATATATGCTGATGATATCGTTTTAACAGCCACGTCTAATCAGAATGCAGCACAGATGTTTGAAGATTGGAACACCAGACTCGCCGATCATGGATTCAAAGTCAACATCAGCAAAACCAAAGCAATGAACACTGGTGAACCCATCCAATCCACAGCTACTGGACGATGGCCCTGTTCAGTTTGTAAAGCTGGTGTAGCTAACAATTCAATTAAGTGTAAGCAGTGTAACCATTGGTGTCACAAACGTTGTTAAAAAATAATTGGTACTTTATCTAAAGTGTCCAATTTTGTTTGTCCTGCTTGCATCAATCCACCACAAAAAATTCGAAATAGCACTGTTTTTGAAGCCGTTAGGGTAGAGAAAGTCACATCGTTTCAATATCTAGGGGATGTTCTAGATTGTACTGAAGCTGCCGTTCGTGCACGCATACGTGCAGCATGGAATAAATGGCATCTCCTTGCCTCTATATTGATGCGGCGTGACACTACGATCAAGACTTTATAAATCTGTGATACGTCCGGTGTTGTTATATGGTGCAGAAACATACATACAAACAAACACATACAAACACAACTACATACAACAACAATATATATGACAACCAAACTGGAACAACAACTTCAAAGAACCGACATGAAAATGCTCCGATGGATGCAACGAATTAGTCTGAAGGGCCACATCAAATCTACCAAAATCCTGCGTCGGGCTGGTTTAGAAGATATAAAGGACGAATGCCAGCAACACCGTCTGCGGTGGTTTGGTCATGTCAAACGAAGTGAAAACAGTGCCATAACTTCTCTTGCAGATGTTGAAGTACCTGGCACACGTCCCAAAGGCCGTCCAAAAAAGTCCTGGTCGCAAAAAATCGAGCAAGACATGAAAGCTCTAAATTTAAATGAAATGGATACAACTGATCGTCTTGATCAATTGATCAATACAATTTGGCGCAAAAAGTTGGTGGCAAAGAAAACAACGCAAAAAAAATTTTTTCAAAGAAAACAACGTCCTACCTCGGGAGAATTGGGTCTCTGGACGCTAAACGATGATTGATTGAAACCATTTAAACCATGTCTGCACTGAAGATGATTGTGAAAAACTTCTGAATTAATTGATGTGATTTTTTTGTTTGGGCTAATTACTTTGGTGTTATTTTTTTGCTTTGGTGTTGTGTTTTATTGCTATGATATCATTTACTTGGTTTTCGATAGCACTTTGGACGATGTTGCTTTCTTCAGAATATCATCCCAGTGCGTATCGGCTTTGTGATTTTTTCCATCACAGTTATAAATAACAGTGGACTGAGAATCGAGCCTTGGTGAACTCCAACGCCGATGTCAAATGCATCTGTGCTTCCAACCGTTGTGCTGACGAGTCTTAGTATTCGTATAAATCGAACAAGATATTCTGGAATGAGTTTTTTTTTTTTTTACTACAAACAAAGGGAATGAACAAAACAAAGATATAATAAACGGACAGGACAAAGCAGAATAAAAGCACTTTGCCAGTTAAGTACAAAATTAGGGATGCATCGGATTTAGTTTTTTCAAATCCGGCCGGGGCCGGACTTGGCCGGATTTAAAATTCAAAAACCGACCGGGGCCGGATTTTAGTTACTATTTTACATACGTTAGAAAAAATACTCTTATTTACGGTTATCTACATGTTGAACACCAAAAAATAACACAAAGCATAAAGTATTGATTGTTTTTTATTGAAAAAATTCCACTGTACAAAAAAAGTTTATTATTTCACATGTAAATAGTTAAATAAGAGAAGCATTGTATTTTAAGAATATCAGCTTCTCAGCGTTGTCAGGGAGCAGTCTTGTGCGATGCTCAGTGATGATGTCTCCAGCCGTGCTAAACAATCTTTCGGATGGTACACTTGTTGGTGGAGGTGCTAGGTAAACTTGTGCAACCTTTGATATGGTTGGATACTTTGTAGTGTTAAACTTCCACCATGTAGCTGGGTCTTCCTGTCGCTGTAACAATGGTTCTCCCAAGAAAGTTGAGAGTTCATCACTGATGCTATCTTGAAGTGATCTGTTGTTAGAAATACTCGTTACTTCATTTTCCAACATATCTTCGAAACAGTCCCACAATTTTGAAGATGATTCATCAACACGTCTTTTTTTGTTGGCTTTTGGGATTGCACATCCTCTGATGTAGACTCTAATTCTTTGTTATTTTGAGGTAACAATTTAGTGGCAGCAAGCACAACTCCTGCCTTCGCTTAGGTACAAGCTGTATCGTTCAAGAAGCGGGTCTTAAACCTTGGATCAAGCATTGTGGCTACACTGTAAACTCGGTCATTTATAATGTTTTGGAACCTGGTGTTGATAGCATTCAGCAGTGTGGCCTTCATTGTTTTAATGCCAGCATCCCGACTTTCTTTTTCCAAAACTAATACCAAAAGATACACCATTGGAATAACCAAAGATATAGATGCTGATGATGAGCTAACTTCTCTGGTAACCTCCTCGAATGGTTCCAAAACCGCAGCAACAGTTTCAGCAACAGACCATTGATTTGGTGACAGGATTTCAGGAGATCACTAACACCACGTTGACTTAATATACCATCGTTGATACAGAGTTGAACCGTGTGGGCAAAACAAGGTGCACTTTTAGTGTTTCCATCTCGGAAACATTTGGTAATATTTGCCGCATTGTCTCACAAAACTAAATAACATTTGTTTCGTGGAATGTTCCAATTTTCGAGTTACCTATCAAACGCTGACAGTAGATTTGCTGCTGTGTGTTGACCTGAATATTTTACACACTGCAAAACATAACTTTGGCGTTCGAACGTAGGAGTTAACCAATGGGCTGTCAATCCCAAATATGACTCCGTTGTTATGTCTGCTGTCCATGTATCTGTTATAAACGCAAGACTCAATGCTCCAGCTACCTTCTTCAGTGATGAAGATGCTTTTTCAAAAAGATCAGGAATTACACGTTCGGTGAAATACTTTCGAGAAGGCATGCTGTACCTTCTCTCCAAGGTTTTCATCAAATTGATAAATCCTGATTTTTCGACGACCTGGTAAGGCTCCATATCTATCGCTATCATTTTAGCAATCGCCACATGGATACGCTTAGCATTGTCATTGTTTATATCCCAAGGTTTTTGTTTGTCAAATGCTTCTCTAATCTTTGGCTGGGTGGGCTGGATTGATACATTTCCTAGCAAACTCGCATCACTGTCATTTGAGGTGGCATCTTCGCATTCTACGGCTACTGCAATCGAAGACTTTAAACTGTTCATATTATCATACTGAAGTGGATGCTTTGACCTTAGATGAGTAATCAAAGAAGACGTTGAGAAACTTTTGGGGTTATCAGGCTTACCCCGCGACAATACTGCATTGCATTCCTTACAAACTGCCTTGGATTTATCGTTTGTTTTAACGTCAAAAAACGCCCATACAACTTTTCAGCCATTTTTATAAAATTCACCAATAATAAAAAATGCTTAATAAATATATTGTTCTTAAATTATGCGCTTTATAGCTGCATCATCGTCATATACTATTATATATAAGTGCACAATTTCTTGTAAACAAAGATCAGCTTATAATTTATGCATAACCCATGTTATAGCACAAAGAAAATTGTCCAGCTCAGCTCACAATTAGTGATGCTGTTATTATGTGCCATGCATGCACGTGCACAAGTTCTTTTACACAAAGATCAACTTATAATGTATGCATAACCCAAGTTAAAGCACAAAGAAAATTGTCCAGCTCAGCTCACAATTAGTGATGTTGTTATTATGTGCCATGTAAGCCTAGCCTAACCTTTAACATACCATGTTCTTAAATTAATTATGTAGTATAATATATCACGTGCACAAATTCTTTTGCACAAAGATCAGCTTATAATTTATGCATAACCCATGTTATAGCACAAAGAAAATTGTCCAGCTCACTTCACAATTAGTGATGTTGTTATTATGTGTCATGTATGCTTAGCCTTTAACTTATTGACATAAAATTAATCGAATTCAATAAAATTTTTTTTTTCAATTTATAAAATTTTTAAATGTTGTAGACGCTTAAATCCGGCCCTAAATCCGGCCGGATTTAAAAAAAGGTCGGATTTTGGCCGGGGCCGAACTTCGGTGCATCCCTACACAAAATGTTCATCATGCTCATGTAAAGTTCACAGCAAATATTTTTTTATCTTAATCTTGAGGTACATTCAATACGTTGTTCTTTTTTTATTCAAAGTGTAATGTCCTTGACTTATAGATCATACTATTAATTTATTAACTTAACATTAATATAAATAAACTTAAATGCAAACTTATATATATAAGGAAAATACACGTTAAAATAATGCATTAAAAATTGTGAATCTAAATTTTAATTTTTTTAAATTATACATAAAAATATAGTTTCATGTTTGCCACTAATGTTTAATATAGTGAATAAAAGTATGATTTCATCGGGATTTCATGTCTACCAAATCACAAAAAGTACACTTTTTTATGCCTACTGTTCATATAAAAGTTAAAGTAAAATATGAGTTTGGCAGAAAAATAATATATAAATAAATGTTTATTTTTAATAATTAAATAAAATTTCAAAATTTCAAAAAATTTTAAAACTACTATTTTTATCTCTACACTTATACTATCCTATACTGTAGTCAATAATGATATGGTGATCTATCTATATCCTATAACCTTTCATAGTTATAAAGGATAAGTCAGGTCAGCTCTGACCGTCCTCTCCTTGTTGCTTATATTTGTTACCGTTATGAAATATTTTTTTCAAATTTTTCAAATTTTCATAAAATTTGAAGGTCAACTACCCTCTGCTGCGTCTGCGAGAAGCTGGCCACATAACATTCACCATTGGTCCGGAGCAGGGAAAAGTGTACAGCTCAAAGCACGGCTACCCCTGCACAGCTGACTACGGCATCGATCAAATTTCCGTGGACGTAAGTTGAGGAAATTAAATAACTTTAATGTTCTTAAATTTGAATATCATTTTGTTTCCTAGGCAAACTTCTTCCACTTTTGTATTTCTTCTTACACAACATTGTACGATGATAATGGCGGTAGGGTACGGTTTATATACAAATTTACTGTAGAAAAATTGCCAACTAAAGGCCTTACCCTTACTAACCCTATCTATCTCTTCTTTCTTGGGGCTAAAATGAGAGTTTGCTAGGGTTTATAAATGAATTTTCTAATACTGCAAACAACACATTATAGTTAATGAACAATAAGTGCTGAAAGAGCATGATCTAACTTATTAGTTTCCCAAATAAAAAAAATTATGACATGAAAAAGCTAGTAAAATAATCAGTAATTATAATATTAATAAATTTATTTTAAAAAATGAATAGTTTTTTATAAAATAAAAAAAAATCAGTTCAAGTAATCTTGTTAAATTAATATTTTTAGAATAACTGCACAAATTATAATTTTTTTCTAAAAAATTTCTCAACTAAAAATAAACCAGAAATTAGACGGATTGATAATCCCTGGAGGATGGTGTCCTGATTATTTGAGGAGAAACAAGAAATTTGTGCAATTGGTGGCTGATATGGTTCATTCGGGCATGTTCAAACTGTTTATTTGTCTATTTTATAATACTCCATTAAGTAGATATTATTAATCTTTTTATTTATTTATTCATTCATTCAGTCAATCATTTATTTATTGATTCACTATTAAGTGGTTCATGTCCCAGAAAATGAAGTTATTATTCCTTACTATTATATTAATTAGTGAAAATTATCTAAAGGGAAGTGAAGAAATAGAGAGAAGAGAGGTTAAAAAGAGATAGAAAGATAAGAAGAGAGGGAAGGTGTGAGAAAAAATCTGTGTATCTAATTTCTATTTCACTTCTTTTCTAATTTCTTTCTTGATTAGGCAAATTAGTTGGTGCCATCTGTCACGGTCCGTGGATGTTGTGTTCTGCTAAGTGCATCAAAGACCGCAGATTGACATGTTTTGTGGCTATTAAAGACGACGTTGAGAATGCTGGGTAGTTTAATCTTATCTTCCTTCAGTAGAAATTGTTATAACTTATAGAAACAAGTTGGTGGTAGCTTCATTTTCAGAATGTTCTTGTAGAGATTTTTGACTTTTTATTGTTTTTATTCTTTTCTTTCTTTTTTTCGTTTTTTTTTAATTTTTATCACTTTTTCCTGTTTTCTTTTCTTTTTTCTAGTTCTCTCTCACTTTCTATTCGTTCTTTCATTCTCTCTCTCCCACCCTCTTTCCCTCTCTCTCTCTCTCTCTCTCTTTATTCCTCTATCTTTCCTTCTTTACACATCTTTTAATACTTCTTTTACTTACTCTCTCTATTTCCTACTTTCTCATTCATTCCTTCATTAAGTTTTGCACTTTTAGTTTCTTTTTTACTTTTTCTTTTCTCACACTTTCTTTTTTCACTCTCTCTCTCTCTCTCTCTTCGAACAACAGAGGCATATACGAAGACAGTTCAGTGGTGATTGACGGCAACCTGGTGACCTCACGAATCCCCAGTGACCTTCCGGATTTTTCAAGGGCGGTTCTTCAAGTTTTGACCTTGCAATGTCAACATTCGAAGTGTGACATGTGCACAGGCGATATTAAAGAAAAATTATAATGATTTTATTGTTGTTATTACTTTTATCATCATTATTGTCATCTTTTTATTATTAATATTTTTATTAACGTTATGATTAAATTTGTTATTACTATTATTATAATATTGTTGTCGTCGTTATTGATGTTTTTGGAAATTTCCTTGAAAATGTTGATAATATTGATGTTGTTCGTGTTATGCTGTTATTTTTCTCGATGTTGTTCATCTTGTTGTTGTTTATTTAACGGTGATTTTTTGCTAATGTTTTTTTTTTTGGAATAAAATTTTTTGGACAATAAAAGTTTAATAAATAACCGTTTTTTTAATGGTGACGTCATTAGCAATATTAATATTATTATTATTAATATTGATTATAATTATTATATTTATAATTAATAAAAAAATGGTAATGATAACCAGGGTACTTTTAATTGGAAACACCAATGGTGACAAGAATGCATAACAGTTGGAACAATGCGTATAATAGTTATAATAATAATAATAATTTTATTTAACAACAATAGTATCAATATACTTGTAATGGTAATGATAATAAGAATGCTAATAACAATATCAATAAAATATAATGATAACGTTGATTTAACTATATAATGAATTGTTTGAAGGGTTAAATTGAAGTTTCTATGCATCACTTGGATATATGTATATATTATGTATGTGTTTGTTTTTAAATATCAGTTTCAGCTTGTTTATGAAATCTGTTGTATATAATTTTTTTGCTACAATTTTGTTGCAAATGTTTTTGTTGTGTTTGTTGCGTGGTTGATGTTGTGACGGTTGGGTTGCAGTCGGATATGCAATCTATTTTTATCCTCGGACCGCAACTGTTAATAATTGGTAGTTGCTGTTGTGTTTTGAAGTTGTTGACGAAATTGTTGAGATTTGTTGTTGGTGTTGGCAACGTTGAGTAACCCTGCGGCTGACCCAACAACATCGAGTGTTGTGACAATTGTTGTTGTTGACGTAGCAAGTTATTTTTAGAATATCCATCATTGTTGCTATTGGTATTATTATTATTATTGTTGTTTTCGTTGTTGTTATTGTTATTAGTGATCGTCGAGGCCAACAAACTGTCCTCAACGGCGTCAAATGAAGACCGGAAAAGGAGCTGATGATGATTGCTGCATTTCCGGCAGCCATTTTTCTTTTTGCCGCCGGCGATGATGACGTCATTTTTGGTGGATTTGTTGTTGTTGTCACTGCAACATCGTTGTTTTAGGCAGATTAGTGATGATTTGAAAATGGCCATGATGATTTGGAGGATGGTGATGACACTGGCGCCCGTGAAGAATGCCATCAAGCCGCCTAATTGCGCTGTAGTCATGATAAAAATTGTAATGATGTGGCAGTGACGGTGGTGATGATGATGTGGAAGTGGTGATGATGATAGTGACAGCAGTGTAGCATTACTAACGCATGTGATGACGACGAGAACGCCTTATGCAACGAAATGAAGACAATAGTTATACCACTAATCGGTGATGATGATGATGATGTCGATGCAACAAGTGTAACGGTAGTGATGATGTTGATAACGACGACTACGGGAATCTCATAAATAATAACAGCAACAACAGTAACATTGGTAATGAAGAGTGATAGCTATGAAGATGAAGTGTAATGATGATGATGATAACAGCACTGATAATAACAATAATGACAACGACGATGATGATATTAGTGACGATGGTGATGATAACGATGATGGTGATATTGATGACGTAATTATGACGTAATAATGCATACAACGTGGCCAATGATAATGAAGAATGAATGATTTTCTGGAACGAAAAAAGAAAGAAAAAGGAAACTGTATTTCTGTCTGTCTGTCTATCTCTTTCCACCTTACTGTACTATGAAGAAGTGCGATGAGATGTGATGATGTTTTCATGTAATGAGTTGCAAATTGTTGTAACTGTGTTTGCAGTAACTGAATACTATTAATTAAATAATAATAATCATTAATAATTTTTTGTGATTTTCTTTACTACACTTCAAAGTACATTATACATACATCCATCCATACATACCTACATACGTGGATGCATGTTGCATGCAACATTATGCAACGTAATGTAACGTAGATCTTAATTTGTTTTGTGTGTTGTTGTCATGTAAGTTATTATTATCATTATTAAATAATAATAATAGTAGTAATATAATAATAATAATGTGGGTGTATGTGAAAAGATCTCACAAACCATTTGTGACGTTAACGTTACTGTAATGTAATGTGATGTTGTTCAATCTATTGTGTAATACATTGTAAAGTGTCATGTAATATGTAATATAACTTAACGTGTAATGTAGTGCAGCATAATGTAATGTGTAATATAATGTAAGATGGGAATCACATGTATAAACCCACCCTCTCAATTCTACATAGTATTTCCATTAGTTTTTTTACTGTTATTTATTATTATTATTCACTGTTGTTGTTATTATTATTATTACTTTTTCTCTATTATTCGTAGTGTTGTGTCACAGTCATTATCGCCATCATCACCCAATACATCAATCATTTTGAATGACAGACGAACGATAAAGCAGTGTCACGTGCACAGAACTCAGATCACGTGCACAGAAGCTAGATCACGTGCACGGAACTTAGGTCACTAGCACAGAGCTTAAGTCACGTGCAATGCAATCAGTTAACGTGCGCCTAGTTTAAGTTCTAATTAAACAAACCAAGCATATATCCATTCAAAAAACAGCTATACGCTCGTTCATAAGTAACGTACCGTACAAACATGCATAACACATGCACACCTACAACCATGCATGCAAAATTTAACTCATTTTCACATATGCGTTAACAGGGCTGAAACTAGGAGATTTGTCGGGCGGGGCGAAGATTTAAGTTTTCCGCCCCCTCCCCACCAAACAATTGTTGTTATACTACCGCAACCGCAAGCTATTGTTTAAACGCAGTTGTTTAAATTACCTATAATACCGGACTGTTGGGGTCGAAAATTTTGCTGGAGTCGGAATTTTTTGGGGACCCAGAGTCGGATATTTTCTATCCAACTTCGAATCCGGAAAGCTTTTTTATTTTTTATTCTAAAAGTATTTTTTTAAGATCGTGTTTTTCGGAAGATAAATATGGGTAGCGTGTTCAATCATATATATTATCAAAAACGAATGCTAATGCGAATGAAATCACATTATTTTCTTTTTTTATGTTTTAAAACATAAATATAAAGTAATTTTACTAAGAAAAATATTTACATTTACTGATTTTAAATGTTTTCTTAAAAGTGTTTTTCATTTAGTAGTAATATTCAAGTAAAATGTTGATGCAAAAATTGAACAATATTTTTGAGTCAGGACCCGGAGTCAGAATTTTTTGAGAGATCTGAGTCGAATATATTTCATTCGATTCCGACACTCTGTAAATTGCGCACCACAACCTTGCTTTTTAATGAAAACGTGGATATTCACGTAAAAATGAAAAAAATCAAATTTATTTTAATCCAAATTTTGTAAATACCCTTTTTTAATCTTTTAAAACTTTTTAAGTTTTCCCGCCTCCTGAAATTTGCCGCCCGCTTGCTGATTTCGATTCCCTCATTGACCCGCCCTAGTTCCTTGCCTGTGCGCTGAATGCAAATAAATAATATTTCTGAGGAGAAAATCGAAATTTTTAAAACTCCATAAATTTTGATTCGGCGATCCATTTCAGTTAGCTTTGTTTTCAGTTTTCGCTTTATTTTTTATATTTGCCTATTCGATAAATGGTTAATGCATTGTTAAAAACTAACACAATAGTTCGGTCCATTCTTTAGAAGTGACATCTGACAAACATTCTTGAAAGTTTAAAGAGGTATCCACCAAGTTTTCGAAGCTCAGGTCTATCTCGGCGATGTTTTGCCTGATATGAGATGGTGTGTTGTTAATGTTGTCACTGTGTTAATGAGGAAAGATGTCATTGCATTATTATTATTACCATTATTGTTTTTTATTATTATTTATAATTATAACAATTATTGTTATTATTGTAATTTGTTAATAAAGTATTAATTGTTATTAATATTGTAATTTATTATTATTGTAATTTATTATTATTATTATTATCAATATGAATACTGAATGAAACGGCAGTTTTTGTTATTAAAAATGTAAATTTTTAATAATAATAATAATAATAATTATCCTTATTATTATTAAATTTAAAATTGCTCAGCTATCATAAATTATTAAAAAATGATATCACTGTATTTGAACGTGAGTGTATACCTGATTAGTTCATTATTCTCGTGACAAAAGGAACGGACATGCATGAGGTTGTCTTTTAAGTTTTTATACGCCTGTATTAACCCCTGGTCAGTTCTATTCAGTTGATGTGTTGGATCGATTGAATCGGTAATTTTGTCAAGCAAATCGGTAGTTTCGGTTAATTTTGTTGTGAAAGACATTGAGGATAAGTCGATATTTAGTCGCTTGGCAAGGTCGGATATTGAGTACTGTTGCGTTTGTTGTTGTTGCTGAAATCGTTTTTGTTGTTGTGGTTGATTATGCTGTTGTTGATGAGTTTGCATTTGAGATCGCGTATGTCGAGATTGCGTGATTGATGAATCAAACTCATCGACAAGACGAGCAACAAAGTCGTAGGTATCGTCGTATGGTGCTCTGTTTACTTGGAAATGGTAGTTGTGGATGTGGTGATAATAATTTAAAATGTTGTCGTTGTGAATGTTGATGTGGCTACTGCTATTGTTGGCTGCCATAATTAAGTTGAAAAAAGGCTGCTTTGATAGTGGTAGTTGTGGAGAACGAGTTGAATAATCGTTCAAATCACCGGCGATAGTTGAATAGAAGTTGCTCAACATGTTGTCTATGAGTAAGGATGACCAAATTTGTTTTACAGTAACCGATAATCGAGACCAGAGATGTGCGAGTTTTTTTGAGGTTATGATTTTTAACTCGTGTACAATTTCGGATAATTCGCTTATTGCTCGTTTGCTAGATATCATCTCTCTGGAATTGAGTAAATCGGATTTTTTCAACTCATCGCTTTTTAAAAACCGTTGAAAAAGTTCGACCGACGCCAAGATGTTACCGTATGCATCAGTATATTTTGTTTGTATGATGTTCATTTGGTCGGTGATGGTTGATTTAATACCGGAAACCGTTTCGTGTAACGTTTTGTTTAAATGCTTTAATTCATTTGATTTGTTAATGATGTCGTGAGCAATTTTGTCGGTATTAAACTTACGAAAGAGGGTGTCGTGGCGCTCTAGATTAGACACTGTTTTCAAAAAATCAATTTTAGAATTTGTGTAACTTTGATCGCTAGAGTTACCTGCCCTCAAATATGAGCTTTTTAACTTTATCTGAAAATCTAACAAACATTCAGTGAGGCGCGCAATATTTTTACCGATACCGTCTCGATATTCTTTTGCATTTCTATTTTCCTGGACTCTAGCCAGAGCACTGTAGGGGAGTAATTGCATATCGTAACGACCATCAGGGGTCAGATAATTTTCACCACCAAAATCCAAGCTATCTTCGTCCATGACAATTTCGGTCTTCAAAATATTTTTCGTAATAGGTGTAGACTCTTGAAGAGCTGAGAGAATGATGCCACAACCATCGTTTGCTGTGATGCCATTAGAAAGTTCTTTTGATAACTGAACGTCAGTTAAGTGGTAGAGAATTGTTCTTTCAAGAGATTCGACCGGAGGTTGAAAATGTAACTGCTCAATGGTACTATCTAATTGGGTTACTAGACCAAACGCATTGTTCACTAGGGGGCGAATTAGTTTGTTTAACAGGGTTTCGTAATGTCTGGAAAAACCTCTTTTAAATGATTCTAAAGTTAATTTGAGGCCGTAGAGTTGGAAATTGACCCTGGGCGTCAATTGTTGTAGCAGACTGTTTAATGCTTGTTTTGAGTTTAGCATGTTGGCCTTTAACTGGTTCATTTTTAATAATAAAGATTCTAGAGATGTAGAAAGAATCGTTATTTGGTCGGTATCTCGGTATCGAGAATCGATCGAAGTTTTTAATTCGACGTTGGCGCTCGTGCATTGTTCGGCAGTAATCTTTTCAAAAATATTCATCGTAAATGATGACGACGACGATAAAGACGATGACGATAACGAGGAGGATAAAGATGATGACGATGTTGATTTTTTGAAATAAGAAGAAGCTGCAAACTGTTGTTCTGACGTTGAGAAATCCCACTGATAATGAGGATAATCGCAGGTAACACGTGAAGATAATGGCGACGACCATGTTGACGATGAAGAAGACGATGATGGTTGTAAAGATGATGATGGTAATGAATAAGATGATGATGATGATAATACTGATGGTGGAGAAGATGATGATATTGGAGTAGGTGATCTTGGTGACATCTTGATAAAAATGCACTGACCACAAATATCATCGGAGTTATATTCGAAGTCATCTGCATTTGTACGTAAGTATTTATGTTTGTTTGTTTGTTTGTTTGTATGTATGGTATGTATGCATGTGTGTATGTAATAATGTAAGTGCGTAACTTGGTGTTTACGTACACACGTGACGTGTGTTTATGTATGCTAGCAAAAGTAAGTGTGTGTGTATTTGTATGTCTTTGTGATTTGAAAATAATGAATTTTTAATGGGGTTTTATTACGCTCAGCGTTATATTATCTAGCGGATATTTTTATAATGTATAAATTCTTGTTATTTTTTGTTAATAAAACCGTGTTTAATGATACATTTTCTTGTTTGTTGCTAATGTTGTTGTTAATATAATTGTGCTTTGTTGTTGCTCTTGTATATGCTTATATATATATATATATATATATATATATATATATATAGAAAAAACGAACTACAAACATATTAACGCCAAACATTCGGTAGAATTTATAGAATATTGTAAATATATATATATATATATATATATATATATATATATATATATATATATAAACATGGCGAGATCTGCTGTTATAACTGAATTGCTTTATTTTTTATCGAATAATTTGAATTCACTAGAAGACGAAAATTTGGTTTCTAACACTTGCGATTTTTTACAAGTGAGGATATTGCTTTTTCTACTAGACTTTTAAAAATTGATATTGAGCTATTGAAAATTGAAAAACCCGAAAAATTTGTGATGACACGTGGTTCGTCTAAAAAAGACAAATTAATCGAATGTATAACGTTACTAAAATAAGTAATAATCAATTAGTAAAATGCTCAATTTACTTGGGTATTTGCTTGGAAAAAGTTACATAAATGGAAAATTGGATTAAAAAAAAAATTGAATTTATAAAAAAAGAAATAAAAGAAATGATAAATATACAACGGTTAGAAAAATGAAATCTATTGAAAGTAACAATAAAGAAATAGAAGCGCTTAAACTGAAATTAAGCAAGTTAAATGAAACTTGGTCGATAGAACATACAGTTCCCGATCGTACGCTCTCGTATGCTGCTCATGTTAGCAAAGAAAATTGTAAAACACAGCCAGCAAACCTCTGGTCTGAAGGCGTAAACTCCCCTGTTGAGAATATTGAAATGAACTTCCATTTACACTGGTTAGTAGAAACAAAAAAAGACCGCGTTTAAATAATAGCGATATCACTGAAGAAACCGAACAGCCACTTAAAATTGAAAAATTACATCACAAAATATTTGGGAAAAATTCTGAACACATTAAATTAAAAGCTAAAAAATACCAAAATTTTACCTTTATCTCGGCAACGTTGCCAAATGTGCAAAAGATGATGTAATTGAAGAATTAAAATCTAACAATATTAATGTGCTGTCATGCAACCCAGTTTTTAAGAAAGAACAGAACGAAGGGAAAAAATTAGATGAGAACAACAAATCAACATCATTCAGAATATGCGTTGAGAAGAACGACCTAAATAAAATCAGGGATCCAAACATTTGGCCATCAGGCGTTATTTGACGAGATTTGATTTTTAACAAACCGACAGTGGAGCCGGACAAAAATTTACCTCAAAATACCAGCAATAAATGACGACCGAATAACAAATTTAATCTTCGAATTCTGTCTTCAATAAATAATTAACTAAAATTTAATTTTATTAACATTGACACATTTTTATTCTATTAACAATTTCATTTTATGCTATTTTATAAAAATTCTCGTTACATTATCCGAACATTGAAAAGTTATTTTAAGTTACACGGTAACTGAGCCTACAAGAATTAATTTTCTTTTTTTGGTCCCCGAATCATTCAATTTTTTTGCTTTGTATGATTGAATAAAAATGATTTGATTTGAATTAATTTGATATATATATATAGTGCAATTGTTTTTCATCACAAGAGATGACGTTCTTTGGTTGGAGTAGTATATTCATAGTTTAATACTATCGTTTTCGTTGGCTGCTTGGGCGTTATTTTTTATGATTCCTTTCATGATTTTTATCCTGTTCGAAAGCGGTTGACATGTGATTCTTATAATATATTACTGTTATTTTTGATACTTTTGTTACAATAGTAATATATTAAGTATCACATGTCAACCGCTTCCAAACATGATGAAAAAATCATGAAAAGAGTCATAAAAAAAAGTTCATGCAACCAATGAAAACGATAGTATTAAACTACGAATATACTACTCCAACCAAAGAACGTCATCTCTTGTGATGAAAAACAACTGCACTTGTAAACCAGAATCGATAATGGATCATAGCCATCTAATATCTGTATCTGTATCCAAGGATTTGTGGAGCGCCCCTATTGAATAACTTCAGAAGCGCTAGCTTCACTTGAGAATGTCAAAACAAATGATGTTTTAAACGTTTCTTGTAAACATGTCGGCTCATGTTGTTGAATTTTTTCAAATTTACCGGTAATCAGTTCCAGATTTTTGCAGACAAAACAGAAAATCTTCTTTTCCCACAACGAGACTAATTGAATTTAGGAAGCATAAGATCATTATTATTGCAGGATCTCAGTTGACTCAGATTTGCAATTTCTGAAACTAACTGTAGTTGTTTCCTTAGATAAGTTAAAGTGTCACCAGCAAGACAATCTCTGACTAGAAAAACTAGTTTGAAAACGATTCTTTTTGGCATGCGGAGCCAGTGTAAATTATCCCTGATGTATGATGAAATTAAATCGAATTTCAAAAAACCAGCAACAAGTCTTGCTGCAGCGCTCAGAACAGACTGCAAATCAGGGATGCGTTGACACCCAATGGCATTGCAGTAGTCAATTCTTCCCCAGATAAAACTACAAACGAGTGCTTTTGTTGACTCAACTGTCAAGAAACGTCTGATGAATCTTATTCTGTGGAGTTGGTAGAAACGTCGCTGGCAAAGTTGACTAATATGCTTTTCGAATAAAAGATGAGGATCCAGTATGACTTCAAGATTCGTTACTGGATTTTTGTAGTAATTTAAACGGCTGAGGCCATGCCACGCGGCCTATCAGCTTATATCATCAGCTTATAGATGACAACGAAAGCCAGCTGCTTCAAAGACGTTGACGATATCTGCAGTGTACATGATGTATAGCAAAGAACTAAGTACTGAATTTTGTGGTACACCGCAGATCAATTCTGAAGAAGCCCCGGAAAAAAGTTGATCTATCGGGCGCGAGGACTGCTTCGTCTCTCGGTGTCGCACCCGACCCCAAGCCTAGGTTGTCGACGCCCGCATATGTCTCCAGTGATCCTCCTCTCGACCTGGATCACTCTGGTGTTTTTGACAAGCTGACGGCCGTGCTGAAATGTGTACCGGTGTACGACCATATCCCTAAGCCATGCAGGGAGAAGTTCGCACATGATCTGAACGCCTTCCTGACGGCTGTTTGTAATGACCCTGGTGATCCGGCTCACTGTTTTTTCCCATACGTCTTACAGAAGACTTCCAGAGGGGATCGCCTGGTCAACCAGGGCAATCTGGTCAACAAGCGTCTAAGCGAATATTCAACTATTGGTCTTGAAACCCTGGTACTGTGCTTTGATGGATCACAAAAGCTTAACCCCGATCGGTGGATCAACGCTGTGTCATCTTGTATTGAACAGAGAAACCTGTCCTCGGCTGTCAGACATGATCTGAACGCCTTGCTGACGGCTGTTTGTAATGACCCTGGTGATCCGGCTCACTGTTTTGTTCCATACGTCTTACAGAAGACTTCCAGAGGGGATCGCCGGGTCAACCAGGGCAATCTGGTCAACAAGCGTCTAAGCGAATATTCAATTATTGGTCTTGAAACCCTGGTACTGTGCTTTGATGGATCACAAAAGCTTAACCCCAATCGGTGGATGAACGCTGTGTCATCTTGTATTGAACAGGGAAACCTATCCTCGGCTGTCAGACTTGTCTGTTCGCCGGATGGCCTGACGGAGAGCTCGCCAGCCACTTTCAATAAATTTTGTTCCATCCACCCAAAAATTCCGGTGGACAGGCGGGTCTTCCCCGCATTGGCACCAACGGCTGGTTGCGTTTCTCCCGCCGAGGTGCTGAGGGCCGTTAAATCGTTCAAAAACGGTTCTTCCGGAGGCCTGGACGGCCTACGACCCCAGCATCTTAAAGATGTTTTTTCTGGCCCCTACATACATACATCGACTATGATATCGACTTTCTAGGCTCTTTCCTATTTCCTTGCAATAAACGTGGGTGAAAAATTGGAAAAATTTAAATTTATTATGTCTAGACGGAAGGTAGTTTCGAAGCATGATGCCTTGACCCTGCTGCTGCACGCGGCGTACTTGCCTCGTTTGACTTTTTTTTAAAAACGTTGTCCAGCCTTGGTAGTTTGATGCTTCAATGTTTTGATCAAACTCTCCGTGACGGCTTCCATTCGATTTTCAACGTTTCCCTTGAACCGAAAGGTTGGTCACAGGCAACCCTTCCCATCTTTGTTGGTAGCTTAAGTTTAGGTACCATGGTGGATTTAGCACCTTCTGCCTTTTTGGCTTCTGCTGCTGCCACGGTTTCTCTCAAAAATTTGTTGTTGCCCAGAGATAAAATATATTCCAACAATTTCAGAACCCAAGTTTTTGATGGGTCCCGGACCGTCCACGGAGCGGGAATTGGTATTGAAACCCGTTCTCAACAGCTCAGTTGCTAAGCTGCTGAATTTGAACCAATCAAACTTTGATAAGGCCAGGATAATGGCTGTAAAATGTGAGTTGGGATCATCTTGGTTGAAGGCGGTCCCAAACTCTGCCTGTGGTACCAGGCTGGACGACTCTTGTGTTCGTGTCAGTTTGGGACTGAGACTCGATTTACCCATTTTAACCGAGTATGTTTGTTTATGTGGGGCAAATGTTGAACCCCTGGGCTACCATGGTCTTTCTTGTCGGTTGGGCCCTGGTAGACAGGCTCGACACTTGGCCATGAACGACTTTTTGGTCAGGTGCTTTCAGAGAGCAAACATACCCACAATTAAAGAAACCCACGGGTCTCATGGAGGAAGGTAGCCTCAGGCCCGACAGGTATACTATTTCACCATGGGCGCAGGGACGTTCCCTTGCATGGGATGTTACGTTCCCCCATGCAAATTCAAAATATGCGGCTCTTGCAGATAGCAAAATTTTTCAGCCAGTCTGTATTGAGACCTTTGGTCCAACCGATTTTCAGACTCAGAGTTTTCTGAATGAACTCTGTAGCAGGATTGTAGAAGTATCGGGTGACCCATTAGATAAGAGTCATGTAAAGCAATCTTTCTCTATTTTACTTCAAAAATATAATTCTTTCTGTATTTTGGATGGAGCGTTAAAATACCTGTATGTGCGATGCGTTTAACATAGATTAAAGCTGAACCCGGATATGATTATTACTTCCTTATAGTTCTAATCAATTATGGGTTCATACATACATGCATACATACACACATACATACCAACATTTGTTTCACCATACTTCATTAAATAAGGACATCTTATGAAGTCTAGTACATGTGTTCTTACATTCAAAGTTGGATTATTGCAATGTTTTATTCTGTGTTTATTTTATATATAGATTGACTAATCAGATGCAGTCAATAGAGAATCGAGATGCAAAGATTGTAATGGCTTCATCAAAGTTCGAACATATTACTCCAATTTAGCGTGACTTGCATTGACTATAAGTTAAGAAAAGAGTTGTTTTTAGAATTGGTGTTGTAGTTTATAAATGCAAGAATAGCCTGGCTCCCAAATACATTCAAGATAAAATTGTTTCGAGGGATTCCAATGCATCGATTTGGATTGTGTTCGGATAATATAGATCTGCTAAAAGATCCTTTCGCTAAATTGAAAATAGGATCAAAAAATTTTGTTATTGTTGAATCGATGATTTGGCCAGAACATTTACGTTCCCCGGGTCTCTCTCTTGCAGTGTTTCGAAAAGAATTAAAAGCTTATTTATTTTCTCTGGACAATTTATGAATTTATATATCGGCGTTTTTGAGATTTGAAAAAGCGTCAAACGAACACTCATAATAATAATAATAATAATAATAATAATAATAATAATAATAATAATAATAATAATAAGTTTGAAGTTGAAAAATTTGGCTCAAACAGAAAAAATAAAGCTTCAAGCTCTGTTTATTTCTGAAAGTTTAGTGGACATTCGAAGTGTCTTAGATAATGTTACATTAAATCAGGTGAAATATGCTGAAAAAGAAATGCAGATTAAAGAATTAAATAAGAAAATGGAAAAGTTCTGTGATGAAACTCAGAATAGATTAAAAGAAAATGAAAAGTTAGCTAGAAAATGGTCAGATGTATTAAAAGATAAAGTGGAAACGTTAGCTTCTGTGGTTACAAAAATTGAAAACTCTGTAAAGTGTTACTGATACTAAAAATAAGATTAATCTAATAAATGAAAGACAGGAAAGGAAAAATAATGTTGTAATATATAATTTTGATGAAAATGAACCAAGCATCAAGTTAAAGGATTCAGTTTTAAAAGTGTTGTCAACAATTGTAGGTCAAGGACATTGGAAAAAACATCTCTGATGTGATGAGACTTGGAAAAAAACAAGAAGGAATGCAAAAGCCCAGACCAGTTTTAATAAAGTTTAAAAATTATTCAATCAAAAACCTTGTAATGGAAAATTGTGTGAATCTAAAAAATTTGCCAGATTTTAAAAAAGTGATTATTAATAATGATTTGCCAAAGGAAGACAAAGGAAATTAAAACCATACTTGAAAAAAAGAAGTCAGTCAAGATGATGCTAGCAAGTGGATATTTAGAGTGAAGGGACAACTTGGAGATTTCCATGTAGTGGCCTTCAAAAGGCAAAATTTATTATAAATATTAATGAAAGAGTGAAAGTAAATATCAATGAAAGAGTAAAAGTTAATTTTAGAGCTAGTGCACATCCTCAAAATCTTGAAATTGTTGATTCAGAGGTGGGAATGAAGATTACATGTCCAAATGATATAAAGAGAAAAAGACAAAAATGGACAACAGAAGATTATAAACAAGTAATTTGGGCATACCAATCAGCAAAAGTAGTAAAACAAGATAATAAAACTCAAAATACTTATGAAATATGGAGAAATAAAAATTTGAATAATTTTCCTAATATGACTCCCAAAAAACTAAACAACATGAGAAGATTTATCATAAATCAAAATAAGTTAACTACGGCTAAGATTGAAAATATAAATAATGAAGTGATCTCAATGGCCAAGACCCATGATCAACAACATCAGCAGCAACAAGATAAATTAGTTGATGCCTCAGATAATCAGAAAATAGCCGCAGCTCAATTAATTACAAAAGATCAATTTAGAGATGATGTTCAAATTATGATAAATTAAATTCAACAAAAGATGTCAGAGATCAGATACACAGATAACAAAAGAAAAAATGTCAACATAATCTTACATCCATACAAAATCTCCAAAGACTTGGAGGTAGCAAATAAAGCTTTAAAATATCTATTAGAAAAAAGTAGTCCTAATCTTACAGATTTAAATGTTATGATTTACACAATTGCAATTGTTATTGCAGGAGAAAAAGATGAAAAAGCGGAGTCTTATCAACACATAAAGATTCAACCTTGGAAAAAAAGAATACAACAAACAATTGCCAATTACAGAAAGGAACTTGCTTTGATAAAAAAATTTATCAAATTAAATTAATTTATCAATTATAATTAATTAATTTATCAAATTAAATGAAAGGACACTCTAATCCTAAGATAACAGATGAGGTGGCTAAAATATGTGAAAATTATGAAGTTAAATTAGACAAATTAAATGAAGTCCAGACAACAATTATAATGAAATTACAGGCTAAAGCGCAAAGACTTAGAAGTAGACGTAGTGATCAGTTTTTACAAAATATAATGTTTAATAATAGTAGCAAAATTTTTACAGAAAAATAAAAACAAGAAAGAAGAAAGTATTGATCCTCCTTCATTGACAGAAATTGATGGCTTCTGGAGACAAATTCTAGAAAATAGGGTATATCACAAAAATGAAGCAGACTGAATTACAGATGTAAAAAAGTCACTTAATCATTTGGAGAAAAGTAAATGGAAAGACCTCACACTTGATGAAATCACTAAAGCTATTAAAAAATCTTCAAATTGGAAAAGCCCAGGACCAGATAGAATACAAAACTTCTGGATTAAAAAACTAACAGTGATTCATCCTGCATTAACAGAGGCTTTCAATGCAATAATTAAAGATGCAACACTTATACCAAAATGGCTGACAGAGGGAGTGACGTATTTATTGTCCAAAGGATCAGACACTAGAGACCCTAGCAAATATAGACCAATAACATATTTGCCAACGATGTTTAAAGTTCTCACCAGTACTATAACAGAAAGAGTATATACCTATTGCGAATGAACTGTTTTCTCCAGAACAGAAAGGATGCAAAAGATCTTCAAGAGGATGTAAAGATCAGCTTATGCTAAACATGGCAATTATCAGATCAGCAATAAAAGAAAAAAAATCTAAATATGGCATGGATCGATTATAAGAAAGCATTTGATAGTGTCCCAAATTCCTGGATTTCGGAAGTAATGTCTATATATAAATTGCCAAGTGATATCAGATTATTCATTGAAAATTCAATGTCTAATTGGAAAACCAGAATGTGTCTCTACCACGACAAAGGTTTGTTAATCACAGACACTATACAAATAAAAAAAGGAATTTTTCAAGGAGACTCACTTTCACCATTTTTATTCTGCATGTCTTTATTCCCACTTACTGGTATCCTTAACAAGCAGATGTTAGGTTATAAAATATATGATCAATGTGTTGGCCATTTACTGTACATAGATGATCTGAAACTATTCATGCCAAACGAAGATCAACTAAGAAGAGCACTACTGATTGTGAAGAACTTTAGTACAGATATACAAATGATGTTTGGAATAGATAAATGTGCCACAATAGAAATAAAGAAAGGGACAGTGATGGTGTTGATGTTGGTCCTGAAACTCATATCAGAGGTGTTAATGCAGAGGAGACGTACATATACCTGGGAATGAAAGAGGTGGAAGGAATTCAACAGCAAATGATGAAGGAGCAAATAAAAAAAGAGTATAACAATAGAATAAGATCCATATTAAAGACCCAGTTGAATGCCAAAAATAAAGTGATAGCCATTAACAGCCTAGCAATCCCGGTTATGATTTACAGTTATGGTATTCTTGAATGGCGGAGATCCGAACTGCAGGCGATAGATAGAAAAACAAAAAAATTACTCACAATGGGAGGAGCACACTACCCAAATGCAGATGTTGACTGACTACATATTAGCAGGAAAGATGGTGAAAGAGGCCTCATTGGAATTGAAGATTCGTTTGAAAAATCTCTGATAGATCTCAACTCTTATATTCAAGCAAAACAAGATAAACATGTTAAAATAATTGCAAAAGCTGATGAAAAAAAAAGAAATATTCAATTTCAAAGGAAGTGGAAAAAATAAAACGTTTGCACTCCATCCATGAAGAAATTAACAAGAAAGATTTTAAAAAACTACAAGAAAGCAACCACAAAAATAGATACAAATGTAAATCACTCCACGGTCAATTTATCAACAGTACCTATAGATAAAAAAGAAATTGATTTAACATACACATAAAAATGGTTACAAAGTTCAGGTCTGAAAATAGAAATGGAGAGTCTTCTGATTGCAGCACAAGAGCAGGCTTTAAGCACAAAGTATTTTCAGAAAAAAATTTTGAAGCAAAAAGTGGATGATTTATGGCATGTGTCACAGACAAGTTGAAAGCATCAGCCATGTGATATCAGGATGCACAGTAATGGCACAAACAGAATATACTAAAAGACACAACAAGGTTATCTTCACTGGATGATGTGCAGAAATTTTGGACTGGAAACAACTACAAGCACGAACCACAGAAGGTTACAAACTATGACAATGGAAAGATCCTATGAGACACCCCAATTATAACTGACTGAACTGTTCAGGCAAACAGACCAGATATAATTATCTATGATAAAAATGAAAACATATGCTTACTGATTGATGTAGCGGTGCTCGATGATAATAATGTTATACAAAAAGAGATTGAAAAAATTTGCAAATATAAAGATCTTCAAATTGAAATACAAAGAATGTGGCATACAAAAGCAAAAGTAATTCCAGTAGTGGTGGGAGCTCTTGGGACAGTTAGTAAAAATTTTGAAGAAATGCTAACGATTACCAGCACAGGCTGAAGTTCAGAAAATAGCATTACTAGGAACAGCAGGAATTATAAGAAAACTACTTGGATGAATCTCTTTGGGATCTGGATGAACCCTGGATTCACCATCAACCAGCTTTTAAAGGCTGTGCATGTCAAACATAAAAATAATAATAATACTTATGTTCTTTTGTTCATTCCTGTTTTCGTTCATTAGTTCATTCAATCGTTTATTCATGTTTTCTTTTGTTTCTTTGTTTCATTCCTTCAATCGTTCATTTTTTGATTGATTTTTTTTATAATTTTTACATTCATTCGTCCTTTCCTTTTTTTTCGTTTATTCATTTATTTATTTATTTATTCATTCATTCATGGTCCGAATTTTAAATCAGTCGTCAGGTGTTGAGAAAAAAAAAGGAGCAGCTGAGTAAAAAAAATTGTGGATGATATTACGCTATAAAAATGTAAAAAAATTACGTCCTAAATAATAAAATCATGTCATAAACAACTACGATACCACCACCATCACAACAACAACAAGTACTACAACAACCACAATAACATGAACAACAACAACAAGCACAACAACAAAAAACAACAGCAACTACAAAACCAACAACCACAACAGCAACAACAACAAATAAACAACAACAACTACAACAACAACCACAACCACAAAAAAAACAACAAAGGCGGCAAAGTTAATAACATCAACAATAAATATAACACAGTGGTGCAATATACCAGAATGAAAATACCTTAAATAAATGATGAGAACACTAAAGTACGCATATACACACACAAGCACACACACAGCACACACTTATATAGGGTGACAAACATGAATACACGTCTATATAAGTGTGTGGGTTATATATATCTATATCAGTGTGTGGGTTAGGGTTATATATATATATATACATACATACATATATATATATATATATATATATATATATATATATATATTCATATTTCCTTTCCGTCTTGTTTATTTATTTATTTATTATAATTAGAAATGTTTTTACTATGGGTTTTTCCAAAAATTTTGAAATACCTTTAAAGAACCTTTGAACATATATGCAGTTTTTTTCATCAATCGTGTATCTGTGATAAATCCAGCAGGAACCAATATCATTATATCATCTTTTATAACCTGTACCCTGATCTATCAATCACACACACACCACACACACAGATGAGCAAAATTTACTGGCTGTTCCTTCGAGAAAACTTCAATTTGGAATGCGAGATATTGCAGTAGCTGGACCTGCCGTATGGATAGTCTGCCTTTGTCCTTGTGAAAACCGGGCCAGGGTCTTAACAGTTTAAGAAAAACCTTAAAACTGATTTGTTTTCATTGAACAAATGTCAATACAGATATAATTGTTTTGTTTTCCATTTTGTAGCTTAAAATTGAGAGCGCTTGTGAGAATATTTCTATTTAAATTTGCGCTTTATAAATTTGCCTGATAATAATAATATTTTTATTTGCTTCTCAGAATTGAAAATTAAAAGAAGGAAGGATGACCATAATAAAATTTATATAGAATTCATCTAGTATGGCCACCTAAACAAAAATGTTCAAAGTTCATAAAAAATTTTCAGCCAATAATAAAAGAAATTTTCCTAAATAATCAATAAGAACCATGTTAGGTGTTAGTTGTTAGTAAATTAAACAAACTCAACTATGTTAGCAAAACAGGTGTTAGTTGTTGGTACGATGTTTCAGGCGTTAATTTAGAGCAATGTTTGGTATTTATCCAGAAAAACACAGAACAGACATCACATAGTTATCTATATATTTAAGCAATATATATATACAACGACATTGTTTTACAGAATAAACCGAAATGATAAAATGATACATGACACATCCGCTCGATCAGCAATCAACAACAGTCAATGTCATTATTCAACAAATAAATTTTTAATTTATTTTTAAAATTTGTTTCATTAATTTCATTGAATGGAAAACCATATTTTAAAATAGACTTCCAAATTTTTAGCCCCTTACAAATGATATGAGTATAAAGTATGTATGTTTTTGATTTATTTGCTAATATATTATATTGACGTCTAGAATTATTTATCCGAATAAATAATTATTGAAAATAGAAGGAAGTTTGTTTAAAAGTTGTTTATATACAAAATTGGCTGTATAATAAAAATTTAATTTATCAAAATCTAAATTTTTATTTAGTTTGAATAGTTGATGTGTGTGAGCATCTTTTCGAGAAAGTGTGATGATCCTAATTGCTCTTTTTATCAGAGTTTTACAGAAATTGTAGTTGATTGATACATACATACAATACATACATACATACATGCATACATACATACATACATGTTTGTGTATGTATCGGTGATCTGAACGCCTTGCTGACGGCTGTTTGTAATGATCCTGGTGACCCTGCTCACTGGGTTAGATTCCACTGTTTTGTCCCATACGTCTTACAGAAGACTTCCAGAGGGGGTCGCCGGGTCAACCAGGGCAATCTGGTCAACAAGCGTCTAAGTGAATATTCAACTATTGGTCTTAAAACCATGGTACTGTGCTTTGATGGGTTCAATAATGCCAAATCACAAAAGCACAACCCCGATCGGTGGATGAACGCTGTGTCATCTTGTATTGAACAGGGAAACCTGTCCTCGGCTGTCAGACTTGTCTGTTCGCCGGATGGCCTGACGGAGAGCTCGCCAGCCACTTTCAATAAATTTTGTTCCATCCACCCAAAAATTCCGGTGGACAGGCGGGTCTTCCCCGCATTGGCACCAACGGCTGGTTGCGTTTCTCCCGCCGAGGTGCTGAGGGCCGTTAAACCGTTCAAAAACGGTTCTTCCGGAGGCTTGGACGGCCTATGACCCCATCACCTTAAGGCTGTTTTTTCTGACCCCTTGCCAATCGACGACACACTGAACTCCTTAACCCAATTCATTAATTTGATCTTATCTGGAGCTTGCCCACTCTCCGTCCGCCGGTTCTTCTTTTGAGGCCGGCTAATAGCTTTACATAAGAAAGACGGAGGGGTCAAACCGATTGCGGTCGGGAATGTTTGGAGATGGTTGGCCGGCAAATGCCCCTTGGCCCCGGTCGTGGTCGAACTCAAGACCAAATTCTACCTGACTCAGTTGGGTGTCGGGATTAAGGGTGGCGCTAGGCCGCTGTTTATGCAGTTTGAAGACTGGTCACCGACCTCCCCGATCAATGGGGGTTTCTGAAACTGGACTTTAAAAATGTCTTCAACGCCTTGAGAAGAGACTCGATGTTGGAGGCTGTCAAACTTTTTGCCCCAATATCTATAATTTTTGCCATTCTGCCTATGACGGAGTCTCTTTTCTTGGCTACCACTCTTGAATTGTAGAATCGTCCGAGGGGGTACAGCAGGGGATCCTCTTGGTCCTTTGCTGTTCGCACTAACTCTTCATCCACTCTTAGAGAAAGCTTCGTCCACTTTCGTTTGCGCTTATCTGGATGATATCAGCATTGTTTCGGACGGCCCAACTATGGCCGATAGCTACGAATATTTGAAGCATAACTCCGTTGCAATTGGTTTAGAGTTAAACATTAAGAAATGCAAACTTCACTGCCAAAGTTTATTTCAGGTGCCACATGCGCTGGCTGGAATACCCAGAGTTGGTGCATCAGAACTGAGTTTTTTAGGCACACCCTTGGTCGAGGGCGATTACCAAATAAAGTTTTTTGACCAAAAGCTCTCTGAGCTCAAATTCGCCCTGGGTCGTGTTTTCTGTCTTTTGGCTCATGATGCCTTGACTATTATCCGCAATGCCCTCAGTTTGCCCAAATTGATGTACTTCCTGCGTACATCCAAACTCATTGAACCTTCTAAATTGGGCGAATTTGACAGAGCCCTGCGCACCGCGCAGTCGTCGATTTGCATAGTTCAAGTGACCGACAGTGGTTGATCCCAAGCTCAGCTGCCGGTGCAATTTGGTGGGCTGGGGTTGCTTTGCGTGGTTCAGCTGGCTCCAGTTGTTTATAATTCTTCCGCCGCTGCCAATCTCGACCTGAAGTCTTCCCTGCTCCACCGGTTTTTTCGTTGCCGCAATATTCTCCACCCAGTGTCTGCCCCGGGGGACCGTACGCACGTCCAAATTTTGAACGAAGAATATAAAAAGATCTTTCAAAATTTGTTGTCTTCATGCTGCGACGATTTTTCCACCGCTTGTTTGTTAGCTATGTTCAGCGTTGCCAGCTGTGGGTGGTTGAGATCGTGGCCCAACACCTCTGTGGGCACCAGGCTTGACGACGAGTCTGTGAGATTTGCCATTGGCTTCAGACTTGGCCTGGTCATTCAAAATAAATACACGTGCCGATGTGGCGCTGAGGCGGACGAGTTTTGGCACCACGGTTTGGTTTGTCGCCTGGGTGGGGGCCGTCAACTACGTCACTCAGCATTAAACGACTACAGTTGTTGGCTCTTCTCCAAGGCTTCAATCCCAGTTCTCAAGGAACCATCCGGCATTTCTGCGCATGATGGTAGGCGCCCGGACGGATGCACACTAATACCTTGGAGAGCCGGTAGATGTTTGGCGTGGGATGTTACAGTTCCTGGCACCCTTGCCAAACGATATGTAAACCTGACAAGTAAAGAATGCGGTTTGGCCGCGGCCAGGGTAGCGGACGAGAAAATGAAAAAATATGGGAATGCCCTCCCCTCGATAGAATTCTTGCCATTATGTATCGAGGTTCTCGGCCCGATGGACCCCAACACCCTTAAATTTCTTAAGGCAATATGTAAAATGATCAGCGTCAGATCAGGGGCCAGAAGGGAACTGTTTTTCGCAACTAACCACATTTCGTGCTTGTTGTATGGGTTCCTGCTCGTCTGTGTGCTTGAAAATATCCAACTGAATGCCGACATGTGCAATTAACGACAAATCAAAGTGTTAATCCATTTGTTACATGATGTTTGACGGTTCAGTGTCACTCATCATGTTTTGGTTTTAACATACATACATACATACATACATACATACATACATACATACATACATACATACATACATACATACATACATACATACATACATGCATGCATACACACACACATACATACATTCATTCATACATACATACATGCATGCATGCATACATACATACATACATACATTCATATATACATACATAAAATACATTCTTATAGTTGTATATCGGTATCTCGTGTTGTACCGTAATACCAGTAATTCAGGTTTAAAAGAAGACCCTTTGTTTTAAAAGTGGCAAATAATCATGAAATGATGCAATGTTTTATTTTGTTTTGTGATGATGACGACGATTATGATAATGATTACGATGACGATTATGATGATGCCGATGATGACGATGATGATGATGTGGTAAATACAATAATAAGAATGGTAATGACTAAATTAACGGCGAAAAATCACCATCAACATCATCATCAACATCAACACCGAATGTTGCAAAAATCCTCTTTATGGGTTACGACATTGGTGGAAAAAATATTAATAATGATTTTGAAGTGACGATGAAGGTGATGATGATTATTCTTATTATTACCATCATCATCATTTTCATTTAATTCTCAGACATATATCGCCGGTAAACATGCGTGATGCGACAAACATCGGACCCGGCATTTCAATTGCTGAAGCAGACACCATCTGTCCCTAGGCTTAAGGTTTGTTGTGAAGGAATGTTAAAATAATTTTTGTGACGAAAAAGATAATGATAGTGAAAAATGGCTGTGATCCTGATGACGATGATGAAGACTATGATGATGACGATGCTGACGACGACGATGATGATAACAACAATGACGATGAAGACGATGATGATGAGGATGATGATGACGACGACGATGATGTTGAGGATGATGAAAACGATGATGATGACGATGATGATGATAACAACAATGATGACAAAGACAATGATGATGACGATGATAATGATATTAATAACAACAGAGATGTTGATGTTGATACAATGATGTTGCTGTTGGTGATGAGATGGTGATGAAAATGATGGTGATTGTGATGATGGTGCCGATGACAACAACGTTGAATCATCCTCAACACACACGTAATCAGGCTGCATATATTAAAGATGGTCGCACATGACACTGTCGATAGTGATGATGGTGGTGATGATAGTGATGGTGATGGTCAGCATCATCACTATCATCATCACTATCACCATCACGGTGATAGTGATGATGATAGTGATGATACTGACAATGACGGTACTGATAATGATACTACAACAAACACACGAACCACAGACACAAACACAGACAAACAATCCGACACGCACTTACACAAGCACACATAAACACTTTCATAGAAACCCGACATATTAATACAAACAAACAGATAGAAAGACAAACCGACAGATAGCAGACAAACAGACAAACAAACGAAAAAACGAACGAACGAACTAACAAAACAAACATACCAACACACACACAAACAAACAATCAAACAAACAAACAAACAAACAAGCAAACAAACAAACAAGCAAACAAGCAAACAATCAGTCTCACAAACACCATTGAAACACACTCATACATAGATACATACAGTTACGTAGCAATATAGAGATAGACAAAAATACACACAGATACACACTGGTACATAGATATCGATACATACAAATTGATACACACAAAGACATACAAAGATACAAACCCATACACAAAAATACAAACGTATATACACAGTTTCACACACATACACACAGATAAACAGAGAGAAATGTAGAGAGATACAAACACATACACGCAAATATAAACACAAAGACAGAGATACACAAGGAAGAAGACCAGGCTGATAAGAGTTGAAATTCTTCAAAAGTGCCCCGTTTAAACTTTATTAACGCTTCGGCTATATAAAAATCCTCTAATCAGATTTCACGATCTCTCATAAACTGCTCTCCTTTCATTAATTCATCCGTCCATCCATCTTTCATTTTAACTCTCTCTTTTTTTTCTCTCTCTCTTTCTACTTCTTTTTTTTCTTCCATTACAATTGATCAGTTAAAAATTACGACGTTATTAATTATTTGCATTGTTTCAAGTTATGCTCAAGAAATATAAAAGCATTAACTATGTAAATTTCTTACTCGCTGTCTCTCTTTCTCTCTCTCCCTCTTTCTCTTTTGACTTTCTTTATAACATATATTTTCAATACTTTTCATTTTATTTTTGTTACTTTGTGTTTCTATATTTTCATGAATTTGTTCTTTCTTATCCTCATAACTTGTTTTTTTTTCTATTTTCATTGCTCTGTTTTTTTTTACTATTTTCATATTTTATTTTGTCCCGGGTAAACTCTTTTTCTTATATTTATTTCATTCACTTTACACTCGTTCTTTTTTTTTATTTTCTCATTCCAACTATCCACACATCAATCTTTTTCTTTCTTTCTTTCTTTCTTTCCTTCTTTCATTCAGTTATTCTTTCCTTGACCTTGTGACATTATAACCTTTCTAAAATTAGCCACGCCCTTTCTGCGTATGATTGACAGGTGTCGGTGATTAATATTGATGGTCGTCGCGATTATAGTCGCCATCGTTTCTGAGTCGTCATCATCATCATCATTCTCATCACCAATAACATCACAATAATAATCATCATCATCAACAACATCATCTTCGTCGTCATCATCAACTATAACATCAAAATCATCATCATCTTCGTCGTCATCCTCAACATCGTCATCATCAACATCCTTTCGTCGATTTTGTTGTTTTTTTGTCCCAAATGCCATCCATAGCTTGGAGGTCCGTGTTGAATCAAGTATATTTACGATAGTATTGTTTTTTCTCTCTCTCCATCTCCCCATTAGTCCTCTTCCTTATGTATTAATGTTCATTCTTATTTACCCGCTCTGTGTTTTTATTTTTTTTTATTTTCTTTCCCTAATCTCTCGTTTTTTCGTTGTTAGTGTTAAATTTAATTCTTCTAATTTTCTTAACTTGTTTTTATTTGTTGCATTTTCTTATTGTTCCTATATTTGTTTTTTACATTTTTTATTTTTTTCTATTCTCATTTCTCTCTCTTCCTTTCTCTCTCTTTTTCTCCTTTTTTCAAACCTTTTCAATATATTTTTCTTGGTGTTTGTGTGGTTAAAAATAAGCGGACATATTTAAGTGTGTGTTGAAAGACTAAATCTTATTTGTATGTATGTATGTTTGTATGTATGTATATATGTATCTATGTATGTATGTATGAACCCATAATTGATTAGAACTATAGGGAAGTAATAATCATATCAGGGTTCAGCTTTATGTATGTATGTATGTATGTATGTATGTATGTATGTATGTATGTATGTATGTATGTATGTATGTATGTATGATGTATGTATGTATGTATGTATGTATGTATGTATGTATGTATGCATGTATGTATGTATGCATATATGTATCTATCTATGTATGGATGTATGTATGTATGAACCCATAATTGATTAGAACTATAGGGAAGTAATAATCATATCCGGGTTTCAGCTTTATGTATGTATGTATGTATGTATGTATGTATGTATGTGTGGCCCCTTTGTTGATAAAAGCTGTAAAAGAGCCAAAATCGATTTCAGGTTCCAGTGTTTATTTATGTTTAGAGTTCTTGGACAGAAAGGTATTTTGTTGCTCCCTCCATAATACAAAAAGCATTAAATTTTTGTAATAGTATTGATATGATTGTTTTCAAAATTCATTGAGGAGCGCTGTTGAACATCGCGGAAATAGCGCTTTATAAGCTAATTGATTGAAATTGATTGAATTGATTGATTATATATCGTTTGTCATCCGGATTGTCGATAACTTTAGCAATTAACTGATTAATAAATGTTTGTGTTTGCCCATTCAGTTAGGCTAAATGTTTCGATGCATACTGGTGTGAATATTTTGGTGTCATCATTTAAGGTGGCAAATTTTATTGTTTTTTGGTTCTCCGCTGACAAAACCAATATTTTTTTCGGCCATTTTGCAAGGAAAAGTTACGTCCCACGCCAAGGAGCGTTTTTGGGCCCAAGAAACTACTGTGTATCCACCAGGTCTGTAGTTACCATTTTCAAGCAGCTCAACTGGCTCCCTTATTACCGGAATGACAGCTATTTGAAAAACTCTGGCTAAAAAATCATTGATCGCAGAGTGTCGGGTTTGATCCATGGTAACCCAGCGGTTTCAATCTTGCACCACACTTGCAATCATACTTCATAACCACAGGCAACCCCAATCTCAATCCAAAACTAACACGAACGCCAGCATCATCCAATCTGGTACTACAGGCAGAGCTCGGGACCGCTTTCAACCATTTGGAGCCCAACACACTCCGAACTGCCATGATCCTGGCTTTATCATGTATTGAGTTGGTAAGCGAGGATAATCAATCAAGCAATTTAATGATGATGCGTGTCATTCCTTTTGCAGCACGGTATTCATGTCAACGTTTTCCCCAAACGCTGCCTTCCATACATACCTTCGCTCTGACGTTATCAACATACGCTATATCGGGTGGTAACAGCATATTTTGTATAAATACCGTAGCAGCGACTAAAGCCAAAAAGAGAGACGGTGCCACCTCAGCCACGCATACTAAATTTAGACAGAAAAAATTATAAATCTCAAAAAGAGATGACTTTATGCACTTTAATATATGTTCCTATTCGATTATGTATTTGTATGTAAATGTTTGTTTGGTAGTATGTATGCATATGTTCAGTATACAAACAAACGAACGATAAACATACGAACGAACAAACGGGCGAAACTAATAGAAATAATAGACTAATTGTATTTGTAAGTTTTAAATTTTTAAAAATTTTAATGGTTAAAGTATGTATGCAATGAATTTAACGATGATATAAATGCCTGAATTTATGTATATGTTTGTATTAG